ATTATAAAAGAAAATGTAAATATGAATTTAAATAAACAAAGTGCATTTGGATGATTTTTTTAGAAAATATTCTCTCTAAATATTTTCTGAAAACCATCTCCAGATGATTGTTAAAAAAAGGTAGAATTTCACAAAATTTGAAATCCAAATTCAAATTTCCTCTAGATTCTGATATTAGTTTCTGATTTTGGTAAAAAAAAAAAGGCTTGAAAAATGATCAAATGAATCATGAATAATGAAAAGAGGAGCAAAGATAGGGCTTGGACATTGAGTGAGGGTGACTTGTGGCCAAGGAGAAGTTGGCTGTGAGATAGAGGGGATGAGTGATAGGATGGAGAATAAAAAGGCTATTAGGTAGATGGGAGATTAGGGTATTGAGTGAGGAAGGGAAGGGAGAGGTGGGCCTTGTTGGGCTGGAAAAAGGATTGTAGGGATAGGGAAAGGTGATGGCATAGGAAGAAAGGATGGTAGTGGAGGGAAATAAATAGGTAGTAGGGAGAAGAGAGGTAGGTCAGTGGGTTAGGGTTACTGGATGGGAGGAGTGGTGGAGAAAGAAAGGAGAGAGAGGGTGAAATTGTGTATTTTTGGTATTTCTTTTTGTGTTTTAATTTTGTTTGTTGTTCTCAATTCATTCAGTGTTTAAAATAATATTTTGGTAAAAATTGACACTAAAATGATGCCTTTTTTTAACTTTTCAGCTTTTTCTTTTCATACAACTTTTTTAAAATAATCTAGGATTATTATTGTGAATGATCATGTAAATATAACTACCGATATCAACAATATTCCTTTGCTGAATGCACAAACTTGAAGTCTTGAAAAGAAAACCCCTTAATAGTTTTTGAAATAATGGATCTCGACTTTGCGTTAAGGGATAATTTTCCTCCACTTTTTACAGATAAAAGTACCCCTGATGATAAAAGGGATAAGGAAAGGTAGGAGAGATCAAATCACATGTATCTAATGATCATGAAAAAGACTATTCTGAAAGCATTCGGAAGCATAATGTCTGAAATGACAACAACAGTTAAGGTGTTCTTTTAGGACATTAAAAAGAGGTTTGTCAAAAATAAAAAGGTTGAAATAAATACATTCTTGACAGACTTAATTTCATTGAGATATAGTGGCGCAGGTAATATCAAGGAGTACATTATGAAAATATCTCATCCTGCTTCTAAATTGAGTGCACTTAACGTAACACTCTCTTAGAAATTACTCGTGCATCAAGTCTCGATATACTTTCCTACACAGTTTTGCCAATTTAAGGTGAGTTATAACTGTCAAAAAGAAATTTGGTCTCTAAATGAACTCATCTCATACTATATAGAGGAAGAAAAAAGGTTGAAATAAGATAAGACAGAACGTGCTTATCTAACCTCAACCCACTACTAATAATGGCAAGGGATGCAAAAGGAAGAATGCTAAGAAAGCTATAGATACGACACCACAAAAGAAACAACAAAAGGAATTGGTTGAATCGAGAAAAAATGGTTGTTTCTTCTGTGGAGTTGAAGGGCATAAGAAGAAACATTGCGCCAACTATCATGATTAGTGTGTTAAGAAAGGTATTCTTCTTAATTTGCTTTGTTCTAAGGATGATTTAATTTGAATATCTAGACATATATGGTGGACAGATTTTGATGCAACATCTCACATCAATCTATCTATGCATGGTTGCCTGAGTTACCAAAAGCCTAGTAATAGTCAAAGATATATCTACGTGAGTGATGGCAACACAATTGAAATTGAGGCAATAGGAGTTTTTAAATTATTATTAAAAATTGGATTTTATTTGAATTTTAATGAAATATTTATTGTACTGTCTTTTCAATAGAATTGAGACAAATTCGATTTTTCTTGTTCATTTGAAAATGAAAAGTTTAGATTATTTCATGATTTAAAATTGGTTGGTTCTAATTCTTTATTATATTATGATAATCTATATTTAATTAATACAATTACTTCATCTAATGAATCCCTACATTTGAATACTAGAGGTGTAAAGAGAAAAATTAATAATTGAGAATTTAGTTGCATTATGGCACAAGAGATTAGGTCATATATTCAAACACAGAATAAAGAGGCTTGTGTCAAATGAAAATCTTGACCCCTTAAATTTTGCAAAGTTTGATGATTGTATTAATTATATAAAGGGGAAACAAACCAATTAAAGAAAATTTGAAGCCAACTGGACTTTAGAAGTCTTAGAACTTATACATATGGATTTTTGTTGGCCATTCCCTACATCTGTTTGGAATCGTCAATAATATTTTATAACGTTCATAAATAATTTTCAAGATATGCTACATGTGTCTCAATTATGAAAAGTCATAGTTACTGGATGTGTTAAATAATTTTAAACCTGAAATTGAGAAACAACTCAAAAAAAATAAAATCAGAAGTGTCAGATCTGATCATAATGGTGAGTATTATGGTAGATATAACGGTTTAGATAAATAATGTCCAAGAATGTTTGCTAAATATTTAGAAGAATGCGATATCATCCCGCATTATATTATGTGGGGTTCACCCACTGTGAATGGTATTGTTGAAAACTGAAAAATGAAATAGGCTGCTTAAGGATATTGTGAGGACTATGATTTATCATTCTACTTTGCCACAGTCACTCGAGTGAGAAGTACTTAAAACTGCAATGTATATTCTTAACAAACTTCCAACTAAGGTAACTACCAAAACCCCTTATGAGTTTTGGATTACAAAATTTTAATTTGAAATATTTACATATTTGGGAATGTCCAAACAAGGCAAGACTTTATAGGCTAAATCAAAAGCAACTAGATTCAAGGACGATAAGTTGTTATTTTATTGGATATTCTGAAAGATCCAGGGGTTATAAATCTTATGATCCCATATCTAAATTAATTTTCAAAACAGAAAATGTTTGATTCTTTAAGGATGTTGAGTTTGGAGAAAAAGATAGACACCTTGTCTTTGAAGAGTAATATATTAATATTCCTATAGGTGCCATTGATTTTGTTTGGAGCCCTATTTCTGATCTTGTTCATGATGCAATAGATCAAGATAATGTCGGGGAACCTCCCATTCAATGAATTGTTGCAAAAGAACAAATTTTACCACCTTAAGAACAAATGCCATTAAAAAAATGCATTAGAGAAAATGAGAAGTACAATCCTAGATGATTACATTTCTCGAAGAACATGAGGATGACACTAAAATGATGAAAGATGATCCAATCAACTTCCCTCAAGTTATGAAAAGTTCAAACTCTCAAAAGTGAATCAATACCACGAATAAAAAGATCAAGTTTATAAAAGACAATGATATCTGAGATCTTGTTCCATTGTCAGAAGGAACAAAATTTATTGGTTGTAAATGGATATTTAAGGTCAAGAAGAATTTGAATGGCAATGTGAAAAGGTACAAAGCTCGTCTTGTCGCAAAAGTTAGAAGGCATCGACTATAAAAAGACTTTCTTTTCAATTTCTTCAAATGACTCTTTTAGGGCTATAATGATATTAGTGATGTATTTCAATCTTGGGTTACGTCAGATGGATATAAAAATAATGTTTTTTAATGGTAACATTGATAAGACAATCTATACGGTGCAGCCAAAAACTTTGTACCAAGAGATTTTAAAAATATGGTTTGCAAACTTAAAAAATCTATTTATGACTTCAAACAAGCATTTCGATAATGGAATTTTAAGTTTCATCAAGTAATCATCTTATTCGATTTTGAGAAGAATTTGGTCGATGAGTGTATATACCATAAATTCTGTGGGAGCAAATATATTTTTCTAGTATTGTATGTTGATGATATTTTGCTCGTGAGCAATAATATAGACTTATTGCATGAAACCAAAAGATTTTAGTTAAGAATTTTAAGATGAAAGATTTTGGTGATGTGTCTTTTGCGCTAAGCACACAGATACACAGGGATTACTCTCGAGGTAATTTTGGAATATCATAAAAGAGCCATATTGAAAAGATTCTCAAAAAATATGGCATGCAAAATTGCAAATCAGGTGACACCTTTGTGGTTAAGAGACACAAGTTTAGTTTCAATCAGCGTCATAAGAATGTTTTTGAGGAAAAAGAAATGCAAAAGATTCCTTATGCACCAACACTAGAGAGTCTAATGTATGTTCAGATCTATATGCATCTGAATATTGTATACATTATTGGATGTTGGGTGGATATTTAAACAATTCAAGATTAGACCTATGGAAAGCAACCAAATGGATATTGCGGTATTTACAAAAACAAAAGACTACATGTTCACATTTCGGATGCCAGATGAACTCGAAATCATTAGGTATACTAATTCCAATTATATTGGATGTCAAGATAGTATGAAATCAACATCAAACTATATCTACTTATTGGCTAGGGATGTCATATCTTGGAAGAGTGCTAACCAGTCTCTTATAGTCTCTTCTATTATGGTAGTAGAGTTCATAACTTATTATGCAGTGTCCAATCATGGAATTTGGATACAAAATTTTGTCACAAGATTACATGCAATAGATGGTATTGAAAAATCACTCAAATTATTTTGTGATAATAAGTCAGCAACTCAAAATTCTAATAATAATAGGAGATCAACCAAATCAAAATATATAGACATCAAGTTCCTGACTCTTAAAAAAAATTCAGAATGGATAGTTGTCTATAGAACATATCGGAACAAACTCCGTAATTGCGAATCCGCTCACTAAAAGATTGAAATCCAAAATATTTTATGAGTACACTGCTCATATAGGTGTCATGTCATTAAATGATATTTAGTTTTAATGGGAATTTGTTATTCTAAATGCCTTTACGGCATTGATTTTTTAGTTATTAATGTTTTAAAGATATTTTTTACATAATTAAAGTTTGGACTTGTTCACACTCTGATTTTTTTTTTGTATGGTTTGATCTTACAAGAGTTTAAGGTGGATGGATCAGTTAGAAAAGCCGCTTTGACCCTATATTGGTGTAACAAAGGCTGCTTTGCAATGCATTGATCCTATGTTATTGAATTGGTTGTTGATACATTTTGATAATGACAACAAAATTGAATTCATGCGGTTATTTTGTAAAACATAATTATAAAATTACACATATAGTCCAAATCTGAAGTAATGAACATCAAATTTACACAACTTACAAAGTCCTCACCAGAAATTAAAGCAGAAACAGCGACTGGAGATTGTAAGGCCCTGTTATGTTGGGAGTCCCTCCCCACATCGCCTCCGCAGACTGCAAGTTCGCCGCTTCAGTTGGATGATTAGCGTCGAAAAATAAATAATCTTTGGGATTATCACATAGCTCGTATTCTTTCATTCCTCTCTTTCCTCCGCAGCTAAAATATCCTCGGAATGGCCCGCTACCACAGCAAGCACTCTTCACTTCCTTAAAACCTTTTTTAAGTAATCAACGAATAAAATGTTACTCAACTACCTTTGCTAATTGTTAGCAGTATTATACTACTATTTTAAAAAAGATCTAGAGATGCCACTAATTCTGCAGACATTTCTCTGCATCTAATATGAAAGATTGTAGTACTTAAGAATTTTCCCCATCATTCGTGAAAGTGTTCAAGAACATACCGAATTTGGACGGATTTTGTACTGTCGCGATGGAAGCTGTGAAGACGTCAAAATACGAGTACTTAAAATCTTTGAGCCGTTTTTGTAGCAACTGGAGTTTTTGGGAAAGCAATACGTTGTGTAATTTAGCCAAAGCTGTGACATGTTCCACGCACTCTCCATTTCCTCCCGCGGCCACATTGGCTGCTCTAAGCCTTGGCAAACAGCCTAAAGGGCCCAAATTTAAAATCCCGAATTTTCTTCCACCTTCCCCGTGAATTTTCTGTCAGTCAATTAACAATGGGATTAGATACATGGATATTAAACACACTATGCCAAAAGGCAACATATAGGGAAGGGGCGAGAAGGGAAAAAAAATGTGGAAATGGGGATTACAAATTGTATTTTACTTCATTTCGGGTAGATTAGTAATTTTATATTTTGTTACACTATTTCTTAACTTAGTTACACCAGATTCGAACTTTTATTATACCATTTTCAACCCAATTACATCAAAGGGTAAATTTGTCGAAAATGAAACTTGTGAAATCCCATCCACATATTTGAGATGGTTTGTGATAATCAAACTGGTACTTCAATGCGAGAAACATAAACACTAAACCATTGGTATAACGATGTTTCAGTTACGGCACTAAAAAGTTAAGTTTAGGTAGTTTCAGTTTCGATCATTACCATATAATAGGCCCTCGACAACTTGCGATCCTTTTTTAGAGGAAATGGTACTATCAACTAAGCCAATATGTGTTGGCCTAGGAAATTCCAATATTAACAATAAAGAGTTAACAAAGTTGAAAGAGATAATAATCGAGAATGTTTTGATCTAGTAATTAAGGTTGAAATTTTGTAATTTAGAGATTCTGAATTCTTAAACCCCACATTTTCCCTACTAATTTTTCCTACTAAAAAAAAGGTTGTAAAAAGAAAGAAAATCGGAATATTACCTGAACCACCGATGTAATGTTACAAACTTATGATAATGATATTATTAGTTATATGTATTATATAATGTCTGTTAGTATATATATAATATAATTGATATTATTAATTATACTAATAATTATATATGTGTACTAATACAAATTATTAATTGGTTATACTAAATTTACTAATACATTTATACTAAATTCCTAATTACACTTAATACAATAACAATTTTTTCTTAAAAAAAGCACAAGCACAATAATGAATTAGTGATTGTATTTGTGTCAAAAGTGAAAACTTGACTACTTTAGTTATATTTATTTCATCATGTTGGATTGTATTCAAATAATTTTTGTTTGATTGTTTTTATAAGTTTCAATTGCAAAATTACAATGAATAATAATTTGATGATGTGTTGATATTTTAGTACTTGATTATTTGTTAAAATTTAACTATAATAAAATTATATAATAAATTTTTAAACTGGGCGGGGCAGGGGGAGCGGGAGGCGGGGGATGGGGCGGGCGCAAGGGTAGGGGGAATTTGTAGGCATCTCCCTCCCCAACCCCATCCCGTTGCCATCCCTACCCTCGACCACTTGTGATCCGTTTTTAGAGGAAATGGTACTATCAACTAAGCCAATATGTGTTGGCTAAGGAAATTCCAATATTAGCAATAAAGAGTTAACAAAGTTGAAAGAGAAATAGCTGAGAAGGTTTTGATCTAGTGATTAAAGTTGAAATTTTGTAAGTTAGAGATTCTGAATTCTTAAACCCCACATTTTTCCTACTAAAAAAATGGTTGAAAAAAGAAAGAAAATCGGAATATTACCTGAACAACCGATGTAATGTTGCCAACCACCATTGCCACATAATCTTGTGGTGCATACAACTTAAATATACTGGAATTATTAGTCAACGGGCTCAAGTAATCATTACTACCAATGCCAAACAAGTATACAGCATTTTTCACCACTCGTCTTGCGGCTCTTTTACCTATATTCAACCTCAAATGTTTCTTAGCTTTCCTAAAGTTCTTGAATTGCATTTTAAGGTCGATCACCTGAAAAATGACATGAAAAACTGACCTATTAGCAATTAGATGTGACTAAAATATTGGAATTAATTGCATAATCACAAGTTAATACGTACCAATCCGGTATTAGTTTCAGCAAGAGCACCAGCACCACCAGATGCAAAGTTCACGCCATTAGTCAAGAATTCATGATATCCAGTTTGCAGGTATGGTGGAATTAGAGATAATTTTGCAAATTCAGCTGCAAAAAGTCACTACTAGCTTTAAATATATTTTAAAGATTAATCTTTTAAACATCGTCGTTATAAAAGTTTTTTTCTTTAAGCACTAACAGATATAGATGCATAACGTATCAAGTATCAAATACTCTATTTGCACACGCTTTAGCAAGCAAGATTAATTTGTAAACATATAGATTTTTGCAAGAAAGCGCTCTTACCTATAAAATCAGGGATAATGCGGCCATCAGTGAACCTCCCGGTTGGGAGCTTAAAAAATGTTTCTCCATAAGGCGGAAAATTTGCCTGGAAAGTAGTGGTTGTCTTAATGAAGTCATTGTTTCCAGGATCAAAAAGTGAATCACCAAAGACAAAGAGGGCAACAGGGGCTTTAGGATAAAGGCCAGGAAGGCAATTAGAGGGGATTGTAAGACTTGCAAGGAAGAATAATGCTGCGAAGTGAAGTTGGACGTACGAATTTGCCATGTTTTATAACACTTGTATCTATTTTCTTTGGCGATCTTGATGCCCAGTGTCAATTATATATTTCTTCATGGGCAAGTCAATTCATAGATTAGGCAAATTGCTCAATAGTTTTTGAAGTGCCAGTTGGATTGGAATCTTCTACTGGACCTGGCTACTAGGAGAAATTGAACAACCATCTGCATAATTGCTGGCAAGTACAATAGGAAATTTAGAAATGTTATAGATTGCTGAGATTATATTAGTAATTAACTAGGTGAATAATCAACGTTAAGCATTTAATTGAAAAAGTCAGCCTCTTATTAAGCCGCCAGAAGAAATAAAGAAATGTTCAAGTTAAGCACCACAAGTTAAGACCTTCATTGATGATTGATCTAACCGGGATATTGGACAAAATTAATGCAGAAGTCAATACATTTGGTACTCCCTTGTTTTTTTTCTACCTTTGTAAATAAAGAAGGATTAATTACATCTACCTCTCTTGAGGTTTTTGGCCAAACTATCTGCCCAAACCCCGAGGTTTAGTCAAATAACAGATACCCCGTTTAAGAAACTTCTGTTACATATCTTGGACAGAATTAGTAAAATGATTGGATGCCCAGAACACTTATGAGCTGGATCAGTGCATTTTAAAAACTGGAAAAAGTAAATTTTCAAATTACGCAGCTATCTGTTTTGGAGATGAAAGGCAACAAAGGCATTCCTGCGCACCTTTGTCACTATATATTACATCAGATCCATGTTCACACACACTTTCTGATAAACTATTCTCTCCATGGTTTAGAAACTTACCCTTTGATTCTGATCATTCCACTCCAAAATAACTGAAATATCTTCTCTGCATATCCAGAGTCCGCTACAATAGGTGCATCGAGCAAGGCTCATTTGCATTTCTATTCCTTTTTCTTTTTTGACAAAAAGCAAATTTCATTAACGGATTATTGAAAATTGTCTAATACAATTTGATTTACAAGTTAGGTTCATGAGTAAAAGATTATGTCCCACATTGGTCTGAGAGATAGAGAAAGAGCGGTTAATATGTAAATAAGGATCCGAGACCTAATGGCTTAAGTTTTTGGATCAAAATTGGGTTCCTGACTTACATATTGAGCGCTTTGATAGGCTCTCTCGAGGTGTTTCTTCCTATTAAATTGGTATCAGAGTTTTAGGTTGCGAGACTGGGCTACTAATGGATAAGTGGATTCTTCTAAGAGTTGGACCGGTAAAAATTCTCTTCTTGATGGTGGACCAAAGTGCCCAAGTGCTAAAATTTGGTTAGTGTTGGACCAGGTGCGCCATGGGTTTAGTAGGGGGGTCTGGTCGGTGTTAGACCAAAGAGTCAAAGATTTGCAGGATTCCAAAAATGCAGTTTGGATCTTGAAGAACAATGGGTCCCTGTTTGGGAAAGAGGTGACCTTAGATGATAAGTTGGATTTGCGTTGAGTATTAAAGTGGGTTTGAAAAAGGGTTTGTAAATTTAGGTTTAATGTGAGGGATACTCTTGAAGGAGGAGATTTGTTAGGTTCATGAGTAAAAGGATTATATCTCACATTGGTCCGAGAGATAGAGAAAGGACGGTTAATATGTAAGCAAGGATCCGAAATCTAATGGTTTAAACTTTTGAATTAGAGTTGGATTCCTGACTTACATTTTAGACTCTTTGGTGGGTTCTCTCAAGGTGTTTCTCACTATCATTACATCTCTGCGATGTTAAACATGCATTTAAAATAATAAATCTGCAATTTAATAACTAGTCCAGTAGATATGAATGATTTTGAACAAATCTAAAAAATACAAGAAAATTTCAAATTACCTTTTAATAAGATAAATCACTGTAACTCCCTTCTGTACATATTTCAATCAACACATCTACTAATCAAATGGCTTTAAACTTCAATAACAATAATCACATCTGTTGAGATAGATGCAAGATCCAAAGACATTCTAGATTTGACAACCAGATTTGAAGTAAATTCGAATCAAACAAAAAAATGAAGATAAAATCCATTTGGATTAACTATTTTTGGGGGTTTTTTGAAAATTTTTACTATAGCAGAGTTTTTAGAGTATATTTTAGGATATTTTTAGGAAATATTTTGGAATATTTAAGAGTAGAAAAATTTTTAGAATATATTTTAGGATATTTTTTAAACATTAAGAAAAATTTAGACTACTTTTTAGAATACTTTATAGAGTACTTTTTAAAAATTTTCAATTTGAAAAACTGATGAATCCAAACAGAGGAGCAATATAAAATTCTCACTATAAACTCCTAGGAGAAATAAACGAGTCTCACTAAAAAAGCTTAGCAAAGACATTATTGAAAAACATCATAAAATGGAATCCATGGAATGGTCTACTTCCTGAAGAAGAAGGACTTTCTGAGAGGATGAGAGGAAGTAGAGACCTGTTGGAGGAACGAAGAGGTAAAGAAAAGTTTGCACTTCTGTTTTATAAACTAAAGAAATCACTGACAAAGCAGCTTCATTAATTAGATTCACAAAGTTCTCCTAATCAACAAATTCATTAGTTTCACATTCCCAGTCCTCCTATTTGAAAAGGTTCCATCAATTTCACCATTTTTTAAAACCTGCTCCACTCTTTTTTATACTCCTTTAAAAATGCATAATCATCATTTATAGCTTGACCTAATTTTAACTCTTTTTCATTATTTATAGATAACCCAAACCGGTTGCTCACCTATAGGTGCATGACCTGATAGTAAACCAAGGTTCTTGAAACCTTCACCAATACCCACTGTCCAGTTTCCATATTTGGTACATCATCCGTTTTTCAACCTTAGATTATCAGTTGGGGGTACTATTCATGATGAATCCGTGCCTAATTTCACAAAAAAAAAACTGTTCACAAAATTAAAATTTTAATTAATACCTGCTTACTAGAAAAGAAGAAATCACAGAGTTTTCATTAAAGAAATGTAAATCAAATGTGAAAAAAGAAAAAAGAAATCTACTCGAACAACTAAAAGAAAACACACTCACTAAAAATTTCGAAATTAAACAAAAAGCTCTTACTTGATCAACGCCCACTAATCATATTAACCATATAATGATTAAAAAAAAAATCCAGTCTTCCATGGATTTTCAAACCCAATTTCTAAAACTCTCAAATCTTCAAAATAATTAAAAAGAAATTGTCTTGATCCTTGAATTATGGACGTTCACATGCATGTCAGAATCTTGATTTTGATTGTCCAAAACTTAATCCACAAGTGCTTGCTTTCTTACTTCTTCCTCCTCGGATTTAATAACCTTCGATTTTATTATTATTATTATTACTATTATTGCCTGTATTGAGTATCAAGATTGGGACTTTGGGAGAAATGAACGATATTCTTGGGACTTTGGGAGAGATGAACGATATTCTTGAACCCTGAGGCATGTTGATAAACTTTTGTGTAACCAATGTATAAAACGCCCAAGGGGTATTTGCAGAACAAAAAATGAGCAGGCCTATGTAATGGCATCTTTGGGCTTGCACAATATTTTTTTCTTGACATCAGATGCATCTCTAACGGCTTTAGATGTTAGGGGGTTTTTGGACAAACGTTTGTATAGTCAAGAGGTGAGACTGTTATTTAACAAAACTTCAAGGTTTGTTTAGTAACTTGGCTAAATCTCAAGGTTGAAAAATTAATGTAATTAACCCATAAAGAAATGGAAATTCCAAGGGACACTAACCTCCTACATTACAGGTTATTAGAGCAAGTAATGTTGGAAATAATGCGCTCAAAAAATTGAATTAAGATTGTATAGAATTAATTATGGCAATAAATCACTAACAAAGGCATACACATAAATTTATGAGGAAAAGCAATAGAGGAGAATATATTACTAGACTATAAACCTTTCTTAAGTCATCATGTAGCCCCCAAAAAAAAATTAAGATGACATATGCAATGACGTTGAAGCTTGATCATCAAAAATCAATCGATATGATTGTGTTTCCTCTTCTATGCATTTAATTTGGTTTAAATCAAAAAATTACAAAGCACTAATTCTATTTTGCACCCTCAAACTTATATGTCTTTTGTTTTACTTTCTAACATCAATTTTGGATATTTTGTACCTTATCGTCTCAAATTTCTCCTACTTAAATATAACCTATAATAGTGTTTATATATGTGTAGTTTAATCCAATCACAAATCAATAGTTTAAAGCCATAATTAAGAGGTCATTGAAATTGCAATTATATTTAACTCCATTTTTGTAAAAATATAACTACTACCTAAAATATAATGCTCCAAGAAGTTTTTTTAATGTAATTAACCCATAAAGAAATGGAAATTCCAAGGGACACTAACCTCCTACATTACAGGTTATTAGAGCAAGTAATGTTGGAAATAATGCGCTCAAAAAATTGAATTAAGATTGTATAGAATTAATTATGGCAATAAATCACTAACAAAGGCATACACATAAATTTATGAGGAAAAGCAATAGAGGAGAATATATTACTAGACTATAAACCTTTCTTAAGTCATCATGTAGCCCCCAAAAAAAAATTAAGATGACATATGCAATGACGTTGAAGCTTGATCATCAAAAATCAATCGATATGATTGTGTTTCCTCTTCTATGCATTTAATTTGGTTTAAATCAAAAAATTACAAAGCACTAATTCTATTTTGCACCCTCAAACTTATATGTCTTTTGTTTTACTTTCTAACATCAATTTTGGATATTTTGTACCTTATCGTCTCAAATTTCTCCTACTTAAATATAACCTATAATAGTGTTTATATATGTGTAGTTTAATCCAATCACAAATCAATAGTTTAAAGCCATAATTAAGAGGTCATTGAAATTGCAATTATATTTAACTCCATTTTTGTAAAAATATAACTACTACCTAAAATATAATGCTCCAAGAAGTTTTTTTTAGTTGTATTTCCTTTTCAAATCTCACTTTTTGCGGCTGTACGATTAGATTATGGACTTAACAAACATTTAGCAAAGAGAGTAGGCATTGTAGTAGGTACCTAGATGCCAAACAAAATAATTCTCTTAATTTGAATACTAGTTTGAAAACCATTCACATTATTTTAGCAAGGTTGGACATATCACACATGGAAAATGGGAAAATTGCACTTGCAGTCCTTTATGTATGGGGGTTGGAGCAAACTAGTCCACAATGCTTTATTCAAATTAAA